CTTGGATACCGGAAGAGGCTCCAGGAGGAACCGGGATTGTGAGTGTTGTGTGTGTGTGATGTGTGCTCTGTGTTGTGCGTGTTTTCTGTGAGTTGTAGGTGTTGGCTCAAGTTCCCAACCCCCGCGGGGGGGGTTGGGAGCTTGCCGCGGCCGTGGGCTCGAGAGCCCACCAGCAGTTTTGGCGCGGGACCGGGCGCGCCGCGGCGCGGCGCATGCAGTGCCTGCCTGGGGGGTGCTGGGTGTGCCTCCCGCACCTCCCGCCGGGCAGCGCCTGGCTCCTGGCGGTTGGCGCGGCGCCGACCGTCCCGCCAGCGCCCGGCGTGTGGCACGGCTCCGGCGATGGCGCCGTGGTGGCGGCAGACGCCGTGGCAGAGGGCGACGGCGGCGCGGGCGCGCCAGGACCGGGCGGCGGCGCCGCGGGGCCGGCCTCCGCGCGCGGTCCGGCAGTCGCACCGGGGGGCGGCGGCGGAGCCGGCGGCGCCAGCGGAGCCGGCGCGGGGGGAGCAGGCTTAGCGGCCGGCTCCGGTGACCCCGCCGAGGCGCGGCTGCCAGCCCAAGAGCCGGCCGGCCCACCCTGGCAAGAGCCCAGGCGCCCCTTCCGGCCAGCGCCGCAGCCGGAGCGGCCGGGCTGGGCAGGGCTCGGGGGAGGCGAGGGGCGCTGGGCGGCACTCGCGGAGCCCCCCGGCGAGGCGCCAGAGCGCGCGCCTCCGCTCGACGCCGGAGCGGGAGCCGCGGCGGGCGCGCCGGCAGAGCGGGCGGCGGGGCGGCCGCAGCCGCAGCCGCAGCCGCAGCCGCCGGCACCGCGGCCGCGGCCACAGCCGGCGCCGCTCCCGCGCGCAGCCGGGCGGGCCCGCTCCTGGCCGGCCGCGCGCCCGCGCGCCTCTCTCCTGCTCCCCCAGGCCGGTGCACCGGCCTGGGCCGCCGCCGGAGCCGGCGAAGGGGCCCGCGGCGGGACTTGCGCCTCGCCCGCCGGGCGCCGGGCGCCCCCGCGCGCTGGCGCCCCCAGCGGCTGGCCCGGCCGCGGGCGCACCGCCAGCGCGGCCAGCGGAGGAGGAGGAGGAGGAGGAGGAGGAGGAGGAGCTGGGCACCAGCTACTACACCTACACGGACAGCGAGGACGGCCCGGCTGGCGCGCCACCAGCAGCTGCGGGGGCAGCTGCTCCGCAGGCGAGTCGGCCGGCAGCGGCCGCCGCCGGCGCCGGCGGCGACGCCCGCGCCGCCGCGGCGCCCCCGGCGCCACCACCGGCCCCCGCGAAGGGGCGACGGAGCGGGCCGACCCTGCCGGCGGCGCCACCGGCGGCACCGGCCCCCCCAGGGCAACGGGAGGCGCCGCCGGGCCCGCGGCCAGGCCCGGTGACGCCGGCGGCGGCGCCGGCCGTGACGGACTCGCCGGAGCCGGCCGCGCCAGGTGTGCCCAGCGCATGCCTGGTGGCCGCGGCTCTCCGGCAGGCGGGCTGGGCGGGGTTCTCGGCGACGGACCTGCCGGACGGGCAGGTGCTCCTGCGCTGGGGCCGCTGAGCCAGGGCCCCCTGCCACGCGAGGCGGGCCCGCCCGCGGACCGGCCCGGTTGCGACCTGGCGACGGTGGCGCTCGATGGGGGGGAGTTCCCATGGAGCTGGAAAACGAGGCTCCCGGCGGCGGGCCCGCCGCTCGGGGCCGGGAGCAGACGCCGCCGGCGCCCGCGACGCCCCAGAGCCCGCCCCCCTCCGGGCTGCGCTCGCCGGCCCGGGCTTGGGCCGACCAGGACGACGACGCAAGCGCGGCCTGCGGGGCAGGCCACGAGGTGGCGACGCCGCCGCGCCAGCGGTGCGGCCCCTTGCCGGCGGGCTGCGGCGGCGGCAGGCCGCCTGCCAGTGCCGAGGGCGCGAGGGCTGCTGCTGCGGCGGCGCGGCCGGAGGGCGGCAGCGCGGCCGGCGGCGACGGGGGGCCGGCCGCCGGAGACGAGGGCGCTGCTGCAGCGACAGCGCGGCCGGAGGACGGCTGCGCAGCCGGCGGCTACGGGGAGCCGGCCGCCGGCGGGGCCAGCGAGGGCGGCGCGGCGGCCGCTCTCTGGGAAGCCTCCGGCCTGGCCGGCTTGCCGGTGGAGGCCCAGGCGGTCGGGCTGCGGGCGCGCGCCGCGGCTTGGCGGGCCTTCCCGGAGGCTCAGGCGGCGGTCGCGCAGCTGGAGGCGGCAGCGCGCGACCCGGCCGCCCTGGGCCCCGCGGCGCTGCTGGCGGGGGCCGCGGCCCTGGGCTCCTTCTAGGGAGGGCGCCGCTGGACCGGGACGAGCGCCCCGCAAAGCCGGGGCGCCAGGCGTCGGCCGCCGGCCGCGCCTCTTTTGCGCTGCTGCTGTTGCTTTTGCTTCTCCTCTTGCTTTCCCCCCCTTGCTGCTCTCCTCTCTCCTCCTTAGCCACGGGGCGACCTTCTCGCGCAAGTAAAAAGTGTTATGTTTGTCTAGCGTGTGATGTGTTGGGTGTGATATGTGTCTCTGTGTGTGCATGTAGTTCTGAGGCCCCAGGAGGCCCCAGGAGACCCCAGGCGGCTTCAGGAAGCTCCAGAAGACCCCAGGATGCTCCAGGAGGCCCCAAGAGGCTCCAGGAGGCCGCAGGAGGTCCCAGGAGGTTCCAGGAGACCCCCAGGAGGCTCCGAGGCGGGGTCTGGGGTACCAGAAGGTACAGAAAGCCCCAGGAGACCCCAGGAGGTTCCAGGAGGCTCCCAAGAGGCTCCGAGGCGGGGTCTGGGGTACCAGAAGGTTAGTCGGGGCTCGATTTTGGGAGGATGTCTCAAGCGAAATCGCCATTCTCTGAGAATCGGGGTCAAACTCATTGAAAATACAATGTGTTCTGGAAGGTTTTATGTTAGAATGTTGAAATTCCCATGTGTTGGACCCTGACGTCACGATCTGCGTGAGTGGTGCCACCGATTTTCAGAAATTCGAGGATGTCCCTAGCGAAACGGCCAGAACAATCGCGGACGCCGCCTTCAATTAATCGGCTCTGAGCTCTACTCCCTCGGAGAGGTGCGTATGATATGATATGTATGTGTGTATATATATATATGTATATATATATATATATATGTATACATATATAAGTATATATATAGATCTATAATCGAAGCGGCGACGGGGAGGCCACGAGGCGGTCACGGCGACCACAGAACCGCTAGACCGCCAACCAGGCCCAGACGACGGGCGGCGACGAGGCGGCGACGGGGCGGCGACGGCGAGCACGGAGCCGCTAGACCGCCACCCAGGCCCAGACGACGAGCGGCGACGAGGTGGCAACGGCGAGCACGGAGCCGCCAGACCGCCACCCAGACACAATCCCTCAGAAAAGATATTAGAACCCCGAAATGCAAACACCCTTTGGGAAATTTCAAGCACCCAGATACATGTCGAAACCGTGTCTGTCCAAACGCTGTATAAAGAAGTGGCGAAGGAATATCGCCTCCCAGAGCCCAACCCGTGAACACTTTCCTGGGGGTGACGCCTTTCAAGGCCCTCCAATTTCGGCACTGTCTTGGTGCTCGAAATTATTTCTGGCAGTCATGGCCAAAACCGGTTGGAACATCACAAATTTCCTGGAGCATCAAGACCGGAAACGTAACACTGTGCAACAAGCGCACGGGTAGCGTGACGGTCTCTGTCAAAATGGGCATCGCTGGACACTCCGTTGAAGCTCATGATTTTCCCCTGCACATTCTGTATTGCTACAAGGATGCAAGGCCGCTCTGTTTCACAACTGGGCCTTCGCACGCATGGAAGGCCCATGAGGCGCGCGCTTTTCAAGCAAAGGGATGCTCCCTGTTGCGAGGAAACATACCTGTGGGGACCTGTGGAAGGGGACTCCGGACGGGAGGGTGTACTGCAGCATCGTTCGTGCATCCTTGGTTCCCTCTGGTAGACCACCTCCTCGTCCTCCTGCGGTGTTCCACACCTCCCTTGCCCTCCACCCTTCCCCTCCGCTTGGAACCCAGCAGACGGGGGTCAATGCAAGCGGGGGTTAATCAGATCGCGAGATCCTGCAACATCCTGCAGAACCATGGGCGCACTGACCTGGGCTTGGGCGCAGGATCCCGCAGGATCCCGCAGGATCTTGCAAAGCCCGACTTTGGACCCCAAAATAAGTACGGACAACATGGGCACAATGCCCAAGATTGGACAGGCGGCCTTCTGTCTCAAATGGGCACAGTCCGCCGCGACGCCGACAGCGAGTCCTGTTCAAAATGATCAGGATATGTTGTCGGTCTGTGTAGCTATTTTTCCCACACCCATTTCGACCGTCCCGGCCGACGGACACGGGCTTGGATTGACCCGGGCCAATGCGTCCCCGATCCGCTCCTCCACGGGGACTGCCGTGACGGATCTCGCGCTCCAGCCCTCGCTTTTCCCTCCTCCTCCCCCTCGGACTTCTTCTCCTTCTACTCGTTCCACGTTCCTTTGTTGTCCGACATGTCTCTCTCTCTCTCTCTCTTTCCCTCTCTCTCTCACACGCCTCCTTCTCCTCACCCTTATGTTTGTTCTCCCTGTTCCGCTTTCTCTCCCTCCTCCTCCTCCTCCTCGTCTTCCTCCTCCTCCTCGTCTTCCTCCTCCTCCTCGTCTTCCTCCTCCTCCTCCTCGTCGTCGTCGTCCTCATCCGTATCCCTCCTCCGTTCCGCTTCCATGATGGCGAAAGTATCCGGCACACCTACTGCGCTCCACGCTGTGACCTCGCTGGCATACTGGCGATCGGCGTCGGTCGTCACGTGGGGACAAAAAGGTAGCGACACCGCGACAAGAATCTCCAGGAACATGCAACCCGTGGCGACGAGAGCTCTCCAAGACGAGCGGCGGCGGCGATACCCTCTTTTCCTCCGACGACTGGCGCCGATCGGCTGCCGGTGGCACCTGCCGTCGCTGGGCCGAGGCCGCCAAGGGCTCCTCGGGCCGCAGTCGCTGCCGCCGTCGTTGCTGTAGCGTCGCTCGCCGGTCGCCGATCGGCCATGGGTGGCGCCGGTCGCCGCCGGCCCGAGGCCGCCGCGGGGGTCCTCCGCACCTCCTCGGCCTGCTGGGCGGGGCCGCCGCCCGGCAGCGCCGGCGGCGCGCGTCCGGAGGCCACCGGGGTGCGGACGCCGCCCTCAGCCGAGGGGAACGGCATCGGGCCTGGCGCGCGGGGGGGAGGCCGTTTCCCTTCTCCTCGACACCTCCCCCCGACCCTCGACCCCCCTCCCCCCCTCGATCCTCGACCCCTCCCCTCGGCCAGGCCTCCTCGGTCCTCGGCCCCTCGCCTCGGCCAGGCCTCCTCGGTGCTCGACCCCCTTCTCGATCCTCGTCTCCTCGATCGTTTCCTCGCCTGGCTTGCGGGGCCAGGGCGGCGGCGCCGAGTGAGCCGTCGCGAGGGTCGTCGTGGCCGCGGCGGTGAGCGTCGGCGTCGGCGTCGGCGGCAGAGGCGGCGGCGTCGTCCCGTCGTGGGACGTGTCTGTCCAACAGGGAGTCCTTGGATCTTGAGCGGCAAAATGACGCCGTCCAGCGCCCCGGGTTGAACCTGAGGTTCGGTCATCACCCCCTGCCTCCCCTTCCGCTCCATGGGCGAGTTCTGACTGGAGAAGTCCAAGATTGCATGGTGCGCTTTCTTGCCTGATCACGTCGTCTTTGATCTTCCTCGCCTCATCGAGGGCGGCCTGCGCCCTGAGAGATGGCCGCTGGACTGCAGCGCCCCCCCTCTCCCTTTCCTGCTGCGCCACGCTGACAGCCTGAGCCGTGATTGCCTGAAAACCTGCCGCGTCCTTCTGCTCGGAAATAGACGCAGCCACTCGGGGCCATTCCGTTGCTAGCTGCATTTGATGCTATTTCTCGGCTATTTTTATCAGCGGGAGTCCTTTCCTCCTCCATCATTGCCAATCTCGCTGCCTGAGCTCTGTGGGCATTCTGAAACATCGGCACTAATCGCTTTTTCTTACTCAAACGTGGCCGTCTGTCGTTTCCTATGGGAATCCCTCTGCTCGCTGAGAAGCTTTTCTTTCGCGGCGGTCCATTCCTACTCCTTGGTTTGCCATGGCATGGCAATGAGATGCTGGCAATATGTTCTTGCATATCAACGCAGCCCCTACAAAGCCAGCTAAGGTTGCAATGTTTGTGCGTGGAAGAGAACGCCGCGCACGCTGGCCACGGCATGGGCAATTTTCCTTGTCGGCCGTGCTCGGGTTCCGATTCTCCACCAATGGGCAACTGGGCCCCTGGGTCCAACGAGACGCCACAATAGAACGCATACTAGTTGAAACATTCCCGAGGGGCTGTTCGATCGCTCCTTGACTTAGTACGACCTATCATGGGTGACCCGTGATGGGCACGTCTCGCTGGCATTGGGGACCTAGGAGGAGGGGGCACATGATCCGTACCCAATCTCCCCCTTGCGGTGCTTTGGACTTGACTGTCGGAACCTGCCAAATCAAAGATATCCTCTTCAATCCCTTTTCTCTCACGAACTATGGGGCAATGAGACACCGCGGCATGGCCCCAGGTTAGTCCGGGAGTCTGCACTGATGCATCAACTACCTCCGTACTATCGTCGGACCGCCTTTTGGGGGTTCTTCGGGACTGGCGCAACTCCGGTTGGTTCCCGTGGGTGCTCAACTGAGTCGAGCTCCCGAAGGCATACTGCGTCAACTGGCGACTGTTAGATTTCCACAAGAGCCGCTTCCCCAGATGAATGCTTGAAATACCAGAGGAATGGTTAAACCACCCCTAGGTCGCCCAATAATCTCTCCTGGCCTCAAAACACGATCGGCAACTAGACGACCAACAACCTCGCTTGCCACGTTCCGTGAATGAGCTTTCAATAACGAACTCAGCGAGCTAACCTCGGAGTCCATGAGCGCGGACACCTCACGGTCGAGGCCCTTCCTTTTATTATTTCTCGAACTGTAGGGATCATGATTCGGCATGTGGACCAGGGGCACTTCGATTGGCACGATAGATCGCATCCCGCTACGAGGCTGATTGGCCAAATCAATGCTGTGAACGAAGCCAGAGCTTTCGGCTGATAGTCATTATTTTTGACCACAACTTCGCTAGATGCTGACATATTCAATGGCATTATGTTTTCTATGTTTTGTTTCTTGTATACTTTGGCATGGCTCACTCGGTTAATCCGTTAAGCAAACGGTCGCGAGTAAATGTGATAGTGGAAGCGCGCGAAACAAATCACGTGGGCTCCCCTTTTCACTTGCTTGCAACCCAAAATTTAGCTGCGGAACATGTCATGGCCAACGGTCCAGCAGCGGCAAAGCGGCGGCAACAGAGGGCAGGGAAGGAACCGTGTTAATTCCCTCCCCCAAGCTTGTGTTGCATACTCGGGGCACCTTGCCTGTCCCGTCGCGCCACAATCAGCGTCGAATTTGTGTTGAATCCACGTCGAAGCTGTCGAATCCGCGCCGGAGCCATGTCGAATCCGTATCGGATCCTCGTCGCATGCGCGCAGAATCCGCGCCGTACCTGCGTCGGGCACAAGAGAAAGACGGCAAAATGTAGGAAAACAAAGGCCCCCGAATATGCAGAATAGCTATCCTCCCCCAACGCTGCCTCCTCCTCCTCCTTCGTAAGACGAAGCAAGGACGAGGATACGAGCGTATGAGGATAAATCGGGAATCTCTGAGATCCAGCGGATCAGCAGGAGGATGTCTCGGGCGCCGCGGCCGTCTCAGCAGGGCTCGAGCTAAACAGTACTTTCCGTTTTCGTCTTGTCTCCCCTTTCCTTCGTCCTGTCTTCGCTCTGGCATGACAGCGAGACGACGCGAGAACGAAGACAATCCACGAAATCGCCACAACACGGTCTAGCTCGAGCCCTGCTTCTAGGATCGGGAGCGGCCAAGAGGGGGGTGTCCAAGAGGGGGGGGTGCAAAACATGACCGGCGGCATGTGCGCGGCCCAGCGGGGGGGCCAGGGACGTAATGAAATAAGAAGAGGCGCCATGAAATCTGGGGAAATATCATGACCCCGGCCATGATATCCACCCCCCCCTAGTCATCACCCCCCTCTTTTCCGCTCCCGATAGGAGCGTTCCCGGACGCTCCGAGAGCGTGCCGGAACTCTGCGGAGCGGATTCCTCCCGGTCCCAGCGCCGTGCGACTCCGCCCCCGCCCGGGGAGCGACCTGGCCGGCCAACCGGGGCAGGGCTCACGGCGTGCGGGCTCGCGCCGATGCCGTGGCCGAAGTCGTAGCCGCCTGGCCTGGGGACCAGAAGGGGGTCGCGGCCCAACGACGAAGGGGAGGGGAAGGGATGGCGAGGAGCTCAGTACAGAAGAGCAGAATAGGGAACCGAGCTCGATGCACCGATGTCTTCTTTTTTTCTGGCCCTGCACTGAAATTTGCAACAGGCAAGCGGATCCTAGTGTATACGGGATCCTGGTGTATACATGTTTTCGTTGTTTCCCCCAGAAGCGCACAAAAAAAAGATTCAACACACCACTCCGACGTCGCCCCCGACCCTCAAAAAGTCCTGAGTTTGAAAGAGAGCCCGCCACTGGTCATGTATATGATCAAATCTCCGACAAAGCACCATAAACATAAGCGCAACATGTCGGAACGCGAGAACTTCTTCGATCGGCGCTGGACTCCCCTCCCTGGCGCGCGGAGCGCGCAAGGGGAGGCGCCGCCAAAGGGCCCTAGGGCCAATCCAAGAAATCCGCGCTGAGCGCAAACAAATGTATGGCACTGTTGCCTTTTCCTTCGACAGTAGTGGGCGCCGGAAACGACAGAGCTGCTTCTGTGCGTTTTCGAAAGAACTGTCTCTGGAACATGAAACTTCCTCCTGGAAGCTGTATTTCAAAACTGCTCCTGGAAACGATAAGCTCCAGAATTGGAACTGGAAGCAGGAGCAAAAACGACGACATAATCGCGTGGCGGAAACACGGGCGGGGGGGATCAACGATGGCCGTTGGGCGTTGCTTACTGGGTGGGTGGCCTGTCGTGCCCCTTTTGGGCCTGAGGGGGCCTCTTTTCGGCCCCTCAGTCGGGGGTTGCTAAAGGTGTCCCTGGCCCAAGGTGCCCCCTGCTTTTCGATCGATTTGGGAGCCGCTAGGGTCCTCTGGGCCTCGTGAGGGGTGCTCTGGAGGCCGTGGGGGCCTCCTTGGAAATCCTTGGGGTACCTTGGGCCAGGGGCACTTCTAGCAACACCCGACTGGGGCGCACAAACAGTGCATCTTTCTGAATCCTTCCGTTTATCGCCCCCCCATGGCGCAAAGCCCGATGGGACCACAGGAGGGCGCTGTCCGACGGCGCAGAGGGGGGGGGGGGAGGGGGGCAAATGGAGCCCCCAGATCTGGGCGCCACACTTTTTCATCGGGCGTTGTTGTCCCAGTGTCGTGCGCTAGGGCCATCAAAGGCCGATCCGGCTCGAAACTCGCGGCAGGAATCGCGTGTGGGGCTCGGATCGCTATGCTTCACGATCTTGTATTTTTCCGCAGCGTCAGACCTCAAGGGGAAGAGAGAGTGGGGAACTCGCGCTGCTGGACACGGTCTCCCCGCACTGGTTCGTCGTTAGCCACTTCGTCCACGACGCTTTCCCCATGCAGTCATCAGCCACGGGCATGCGGGGGGCCTCGCAAGGCTTGGGCGCATTCTGCCCCCAGTGGAGACACGTTTTCCAAGACGGGGTTAAGCGACCGGCTGTCCTCGCTGTCGGCGCCCCGCCAATTAGTTCAAGGGACTTTGGAACTGTGGCTTGCGAGAGGGTGCTCGAGGTGCAGTGGTTAGATGTCCTGGGCACGGCAGATGGCAACCATTTCTCGTTTCAACGGTTCCTGGACAACACGTGCGCGAAGCTCTTATCTTCCGCAACCGAGCTCACAGCGTCCACCCGTGACCTGAGCCTGGGCGCGCCGCTGACCGTGGAGCAAGTCTGCAAACGCATCTGCCCGTCGGTGCTCCACGGCACGGAGCCGCTGGCTTCCTAATAGGTGGGGCTGGGCCGCAGTCGCGCGCAAGCTCAACGAGGCGATGCACTCGGCCGCCAAGATTATGCTCGGGCTGCGGCCGGGTGTTTCGCTCGCTGGGCGCTGCCAGCCACGTCCGAGTGTTTGCAGAACCGCGATTGTTCACCTGGGTGGCCGTCTTGGTCCTCAAGCGGATTGTCACTGCGAGGGCTAGCTTCGGCAGGCGTGCGCAGCTGTCCTGGCTGTCACAGGTGCTACTTGGTTGGACCACGCCGATGCGCTGGTTGCAGACCTGCGCATTCAGCCTTTTGCTACCTTCTGTGACGCTTCGGCCATCAACCGCCACTACAGGGCGCAGTGCAAAGCGCGGGTTGCGAAATGTAACAGGCCGTGGTGACGCCTGCCATCCGCCGATCCGAGCAGGCATGGTTCCAGGCCCAACTGGCCTCTCTGGCTTCCGATGGCATTCTCCCGTACGCGGTTCTGGTGCCGCCTCGTGCCCCTTTCCCAGGTCGGCTGCAATGGCCACTGTGAATAAGGAAGATGTGACGCTTTTTCCGCAGCATGGATGATCGCGCGAATCAGCGGACTGTTGCCGCTCTGCCTGTGGCAATACGAGGACCTCTTGGAGAGCGTGGAACCCTGCCCGCCTTGCGGGTGCGCGGCAACATCGCTGGAACACGCTCTGGCGATGTGCGCTAACACCCGAAAGTGGAGGCAGGTGCTCCCCAGCGCGGCGCAAGGGCGGGTCGTCCGCTGGACGCTGACTGGGGCGCAATCGGCTGAAACCCTGGAGGCCTGCGTCGAGTATTGCGGAATTTGCGTGGGGGTCGGTCGTCCTAGCCCGAACGCGGCCCTCCCGGATCACCTAATTTCCTTGCCTTCGGCCCCTCCCTCCTCCTTCCGTTGCGCATTGTAGTCGTTTCCCACGGCAGTGGTGGACCTGGGCGTGGACCTGGTGGAGGGAAGGAGACAAGGAGGGACGGCAGTGGTGCCGCGGAGGCTGGGTAGGACGGCAGCCGTGGCAGCACGGTGAGAAGTGTGCGCAGGGGCAGCAGGGACGGCACGGTAGGAGCATGAGGGCCTGGAGATGCGGGGAGGGACGGCAGTGGCGGAAGCAGCGGCCGCACGACGTGGGGCGGCAGTGGCAGCGCGGTGGGAGGAGCGGGAGGAGACGGCAACGGCAGCGGCATGGAGGCCGGGAGGGACGGCAGCAGTGGCGGCACGACGAGGCCTGGAGGAGGAAGAGGAGGAGCGGGGAGCGGGGAAGGACGGCAGTGGCGGCGCGACGACTGCGGACAGCAGTGGCGGCGATTTGGGCGGGCGGGCAATAGCAACCAGCCCCGAAGTTGTTCAACGGGACGTGGGTGGTGAAACTGGAGCCCGCCGTCAGCTGCTACAGCACCCTGATCATCGCTTGCGAATGGGATGGGAGAGGGGCAGAGGCACCTGGCCCTGGCGTTGCCTGGCTAGATGTTGGAAGCGACGCTGGAGCCCGCCATCAGCTGCTACAGCACCCCGCTCGTCGCGTACGAGAAGGACGCGCGGGGGCAAGGCACTGGTTCTGGCGCTGCTCAGCGACATGTTGGGAGTGATGCTGGAACCCGCCACCAACCGCTACAGCACCCCGAGCAGCGCGTGCGAGAAGGACTGGCGGGGAGAAGCGGCAGCCAGCCCTGGCGCTGCTCAGCGAGATGCTGGGATTCAAGCTGAAGCCCACCATTATTTGCTACAGCACCCCGACCAGCGCGTGCGAGAGGGACGGGCAGGGGCAGTGGCAGCTGGCCATGGCGCTGCTCAGGGAGACATTGGGAATTACGCTGGAATCCGCCATCATGGGGTGCAGCACCCCAAGCCGCGCGTGCGAAAAGCACGGGCGTCGGCAATGGCAGTCGGCCCTGGTGCTACTCAGCGAGATGTTGAGCGCGAATCTGGATGCGACCATCATCTGCTACAGCGCCCCGATCAGCGCTTGCGAGAAAGACGGGCGGGGGCAATGGCAGCCTGCCCTGGCGCTACGCAGCGTGATGTTGGGAATGAAGCCGGAGCCCACCATCATCAGTTACAGTGCTGGGGTCAGCGCGTGCGGGAACGGCGTGCAGCGACAGTGGGCCGTGGTGCTGCTCAGCGGGATGTGGAGTTCGAATGCGGAGCCCAGCATCACCAGTCACCAGCTACAGTGCTTGACCCTGCGCGTGCGACGTGACAGGGCAGTTGCGGGAGACCCCAGCGCTGCTCGGCGGAATAGAGGCCACATGAGGACCCGAAGTCTTCAGCGGAATGTGGACTTCGACTGAGGGGTCCAACGTGACCAGCTACAAAGCTTGTATCTGTATCTCCGCGTGCGGGACGGGAGGGCAGTGGCAGCAGGCTGCCAGACGTGGGGGGAATAAAGGGAACACGACGTCATCAGTCAAGTTGTTGGGGTCAGCGCGTGCGATAATGACGGGCAGTCGCCGTGGACCGTGGTGCTGTTGAGCAGGGCGAGGTTCGAGTGGAGCTCCACGTAATCAGCCGCAGTGCTGTTCTGCGCGTGCTAGGGGGAAGGGCCGTGGCAGCAGTCACCGGCGCTACTCAGCGGGATGTGGAGACCGAGGTTTTCAGCTACGGTCTTGGGATCAACGACTGTGAGAATGGCGGGCAGCGGTAGTTGGCTAGCGAGACGTGGGATCTGAACGTGGAGCACAACGTCGCCAGCTCCAACGCGTAAATTAGTGCGTGCGGCAGGCAGGAGCAGTGACAGCATGCTGTAGCGCTGCTCAGTGCAATGCGGAAGCCCTAGTTTATCCACTACAACGCGGGGATCAGCGCATGCGTGAAGGACGAGCGGAGGCTGCAGGCTGGGGCGCCGCTCAGCGGGATGTGGAAATAGAGGGCGGGACCCAACGTGATGGGTTCCAACGCTGGGCTCAGCGATTGAGAGGCAGGAAGGCAGTGGCAGCGGGTTGTGACGCTGCTCAGCGGGCCGTGGTGTGCGAAGTTGGGCCCAGTGTCAGTCATCAGCTGCAGCGCTGGGACCAGTGTGTGCGAGAAGGGCGGGCGGCGGTGGAGATCGGAAAGGGTGCAGTGGCAGCAGGGGCCGTGAACCGGAGCCTCAAGGGCGCGTGCGCCACTGGCATCTGGGTGCGGCTCGCGCGCATGGGAGCGCGCGAGAGCGTGCGCCCTCCAGGAGCAGCAAGAGCAAGAACAAAAAAGGAGGAGGAGGAGGAGGAGGACGCATCTTGGGAGCCTCTTGGGGCAATCTTTGGGCCCCCTGGGAGCTTCCTGGGTGTCTCCCGAAGGTTTCTTGGGGGGTT